ACCTTTTGAAAAAACGTATATGAAGTCAGACATCTATTCAAGTACTAGCATCAGAACGTGTTACCTTGCACAAGAGATGACTAATTAATAAACTTATAAATAAGACATATGCATAGCATGTTTAAGAACAGTAATATTAAATGTTGATGCTAAGATTTTCAAACGCAAGTATTAAAATAAAGACAATAAATAAACGAACTGAAACTTCAAAAACAGAACAGCATGATTCTAAAATATATATAATCTAGTTAATTATAAACTAAATAATTAAGAATAATAATTTAATTTATCTATTAGATTCTCAAAAAGCGCCCTCCTTTTCATTTTCATTTCATTTCATTTTCAAATTTTAATTGTAAACATTGTGAATCTTATAAATATTACTTAATGTTTTCCGCTTTTCCGGCAGGTATTTTCGACTTAGAGACTTTTCCTTGGCCCTCAACCCCATTTTTTACGAGCGCTCAAATGTATGCGGCAATAAATTAAATCAAAACATCTAGGATTTGACCTTGAGTGGCAGGGACAGATGAACACATCAAGGATGCACAAAGGGCAAGCAATTTTAGGGCGTGCAGTCCATTGGCGGTCAGCTGAGGGCCATGAACCCTGCAGATATCGTTTCGTTTTGTGGGTGGGCGTGTGTTTTGGGGTGTGTGTGTGTGTGTTATGGGGTGTGTGTGCGGATGTCAGGACCTCGAGGGCAATTTCCTTTTGCAACATACATACGAATACGAATACGAGTGTGTTTTTGTGGGCGGGCAAATAAGCATAACGAGCTGCATTATCCTTGGGGAAACTGGTTTGGGATGCAGCCTTGCTCTTGCATTACGCATACGCTATGTGACTCACAACGGAAAACATGGAGGGAAAAGTCTTTTGTTGCACCGCCAAATTGAAATAATATGCAAGGGACAGCAAATATGAAAAGGAAATGGAGAAGCGAGCAGCGAGCAGCGAGCAGCTAGAGATGAAAAAGCATGAGTCAGCAGATGCTATATATGTACTATATACACTTATAGCAGGATGTGAGGCCAAAGGATTAAGGGTGATGTGGTCGCTTGAAAAAGGGAAGTTATGTTTTTATACTCACGGAAATGTGGCTTTTAATAAATGCCAGAAAAGCAGAATTTTCTGCAGACCTAGAATTTTATCTCTTCATAAAAGTGAACTATTTGTTTTCTCTTAAACAATTTATGTGTTTGTGCCTTTTTATTAAATAGCATTAAACAATTAGCTGTTGTAAAGCTAAATAATGAAAAAATTATAATTTTTAGTTATGGTTATGAAGCTACCATACATTTTAATTAGACAAATAATTTATACATATTTTTAAAAAATATTTGAATACTTTTTAATGAAGCTCAAAATGTATTTATTCTGTCTTTATAATTATTTATGTTAATAGATTAAGCTAGACATTTTAGAACAACAGATTCTTAACTATATTTTAACTAACAAATAGTAAATGTACAAGGAATTAAAAAAAACATGTATGAAATTTTATTTAATATTTTATAGTATAAATATAATATAATTTTAGAAAATTAAAAGTTTTTAAAGAAAGGTAAATACACAATTGTTTTTTTGTTTAAGCCATAGTTATTTTATATTTGACTCTGGCAGAATAGCCCTTAAAAGAAAAAGTATAAAAATGGTAACATAATGACAACGACAAGGACGCAGGACACCATCCAGCCGGAGGATGCAGGTCCTGTAAACTAGAGGCCATTGTACACACGTAGGTCACAAGCGACAGTTTCTGCTCTTCTTTAGACTTTTGTTTTTGGTAGAGAGCGTGGAAAACCCCCCTGATTTCCCCCCTCGTTTTCCCAGCCGGCTGGGGCATCAGCATCATTAACATTATGTAAGCAACAACAACAACAACCGGCGACTGTGACAGCAGCAACAGACGGTAGTAGTCCTTTCACCTTTCTCCTCCTGCGAAAAACTACACCTGAAGTTGTAATTTATGCTCTGACAAAATGGCGCACACACAAAAAAAAATTGGGGGTGGAAAGAAGTCTCTCACGTCACGTCAATGGGGGTGAAAAGGTGGATACAATTGTGGGTAAAAGGGGGGCCAAAAAGGGGGATAAAAAGGGGGCCAAAAAGGGGGATAAAAAGAGGGCAAAAAGAGGCGCATAGTTAGCCTATGTGTTGCACTTGACGGGGTAGCTACTTTTATGTATTTATGTTTATATATGTATAACAGGAGCTTGGCCTTTATGACCGCATAAATTAAAGCATCACGAATGGAAATGTTTTGTTATAAGTTAAGGTATCCCGAAAACTCCAGGTTGAGCAACACAAACAGGTCAAAGTTATAAGTCAAGATTACATGTTAAATAAATAACAGAATTTTTTGTTAATAATAATGTAGACATAAATTACAGGATTTTTCAAACGTATTATCTTTTTAAGATCTCTAGAACATAGGGTTCATGCTTGTTATTATTACTAAATGAGATTTCTAAATAAATTATTATTTCTCGATACCTTCAGAAGTTTTTAGTATTCTATAAATCCTCGAAATAAATCATGAACCCTTAAAAGCGTTAAAACCTTAGTTTCATAATTGAAATACTTGTTGTAAGTACTTAATTACTTTGCTTTGGCAAAAGACAATAATTTATTAAAGGCAAGCTTTTAATCCCTTAATCCTACTTTTGTAAACTACTTTTATGAAGTGGTTTTTTGTTGTCGATCCCAAAACCTACCTTGTCTGAAAATTAATGTTATGGCTTCAACACATTGGCATGAAAAATCGCCCCGATTTTCGACTTTACATCCATCAGCATTGTTGGCAGGAAAAACTTTAATGGCTGGCCATAAAAAAAATAAGGAACCTCGCCGAAATGTTTATCTTGCCGCCACAATTTCGTAAGATACATACATGCATTTGCCTAGGTGAAAACTTTTGAGCAAACTGCATAAACGAAAAGAAACTTCTTATAAAGTCCATAAAACGTAATGACTCGCGCTACATGCACACCCAGAAAAGTATGCAACAAAAGTTCCACTGACTTCAGACTTGACAGGATGAAAATCAAGGAGAGCGCACAGGACTCTGGGAAATTCCAGCAGGAAAATATTAAGTTTTACACGAATCCCAGCTGGGCAAATTGATTAAAGCCACCAGTGGCAGGAATTGGAAAAGTTGAACGCAATGCAAACACACAAGGAAGTCTTTAAAGCAGATTAGGTTGTGGGTAATTTACCAAGCCACCAATGATTTTACGCTAATGTGGGGTAATGGGATTTACTTGTTTATAAAACATTGATTGTTATGCCAAGTGGTTCGGTTAACTGTCATAAATAAACTTAATAAGAACTACATAATAGTATATTTATTCAACATAACTTTCAAAGATAATTTGACCTTTACGGCAAATATATTTCTTTAATATAAATGACAAATACAGAAGCTGCAATGCAATCAAATGGAAATTAAATAATAAAAGCTTGTGGCATTTGCCATTTCACTAAATGAATGTTAATAACAATTGAGGTCATGGAGGGTCAGATAAAAATGTATTCAATTAATTAAATCTTTGTTTATATTTAGACTTTCTCTGTTTGCTTCGAACAAAGTAAAAAAAAACCCTTGCTGATTGATGCATTTATTTACAAATAAAGGGGAAAAGTGTTTGGTTTTAGGAAATGAAAAAATATTTGTTCAATTTCATAATATTTCCTCTATAAATCTTTTTTGCAAATTAAGCTTTTTTGATTAAAACTAATTTTGTTCAATTATTGATTGATAAATAGAAAACCAATTACTTTTATCCGGAATCTTCAAAACATACGCTTTAAAAAGAATATCAATGTCAGATTTTAAATAACCTACTTAACAGTTTATCTAAACAAAATTTTTAGCAGACTAATGTAAATTGTAAAACTATACTGTGATGCTCTAATCAAAGCTCCACTGTACTTAAAATTGCGACCGCTTCGTATTGAAATTATGACGTCGATCGGAGAGTGTGCCTGCACTTGAAAATCGCCCAAGGCGCTCACCGACAGTTGAAAGGGTGAAGGATGAAGGATTTTGTGCAACAAAATGACAAATCACCGACACTAGGACACTTTCACCCCCTGTACCCATGTACCCATACACCCCACCGAAAGCAAACCAAATTTGCATGCTATGTCGCGCCACTGTGTTTGTACTGTGTATAGATGTGTGAATGGGGAATTGAAATTGGTTTGCAAAGTGGCAGCTATTTATATTTGGCCAGGAGTCGCCGTCGTCGTCGTCTGCACTTGTCACACTGATTTCTGCCGATTAGAAATTAATCGAATTTTACTGTCAAATCGAAAGCGGCGGGCGTTCAGGAAGTTCGCGTTACGTTGCCATGGAAATGCAAAAACAACCAAACACAGACACGCACGCATACTAAGACACAAAGGCGGGAGTATCCTGCGAATTAGGGTGACTCCAAATAAACATTGGGCAAACTCTGAGATTTATGTTGATATAAATTTGTAAAAACCTAAAAAGTTACATTTCTAATAACTCAATTAATTATGCATATGCTGTCTATATTATTAGTTTCTTCAATGTTAACACATGTACCACTTTTTTAAAAACCACATTGTCAAGAATTACAATTAAGACTTAAGATATGTTTTAAAAATAAAACTATTTTGAACTCGGCAAATTCTGGTAACTTTCTAAACATTTTCAAATCAGATTTAAGTTTTAAAAATATACATATTTTATTGATTATTTATTTGTCCATTTATTATTGTTCCTTTGGAATTGAGCCACCCTAAAGGACACTCACACATACACGCACACAGAAACACAGACACTGACTGACAGACACTGACACTGAATGTTACGCAGTCGGCGGTCTTGTAGGCAAAATACCGAAACATTTTGCAAATTGGCTGATAATCTTCGTTTATATAAGCTCGAGAAATTATAAAATAAAGAGGGTTCTAGGAATAATCCTTTTCCTTCATTTTATAAGTATTATTTTCTCTCTTCTCACCTGTTCAACAACTGTCGACATTTTGATGTATGTTTTTCTTTATTTACTGCACGTCTCGAAATTTGTCTCACTTTGTCGCTGTGCTCTCTGCACTTTTTGTTTTAAAAAGATTACAAAATTTATTTTTTTAAACCGCACCGCATTTTGTTTTTTATTTTGTATTTTGCTTCGATTTTAGTTGTACGAGCTTAAGGGGAAATTCGCGAACTTAAGATACGCAACGAATCCGACGAGTTGCTGCTGCTGAAATCAACTAAAAATCCTTTTTTTGGCGAGCAGGATACTCACGGATTTGTATCCTGCCTAAAAGTTAAGTGTGACCAACCTAAACAATATACCAAAATGTGTCAAAGGAGGTATTTAGGTGGAAAACATCGATACAATACCGTTAGCTCTGGAACCTTTTGTATTTTGAAATTTTTATTTGAAAAAATTACCCTATTATTTATATTATTTTGTTTTCTGACAAATATTTGATTTTTGTTAATATTCTTGACAAAAACTAACATACAGCCGAAAATCCCAGCAGCTATGGCTACACTCCTAATAAATAACTAACATATAAATAATGCTTTATTTTAAAATTGTAATAAATAAATAAAAAAAAAATAAGAATACAAAACAAATATATAACAATATATTTAAATCTACAAATGTTTAGTTTTTGGCATATTTCTGATTTAGTATTTTTTGTATATTGCCGCATGGTATATTTCAGCACTTAAGCAACGGTCATATCTAAATTTTTCAGTGCCGTCGTGCCGCACGTTTTTCTTGTAAATAAATAAATAATTCATAAAACACTAAGATGTTTCGTCTGCAACAATCCCAGCCCGATCCCGCCGAAGAGCAGAAACGAGTTGCATCCGAAGTCCGCTTCAATTTCATCCTTTTTGGAGCTATAATCGCAGCTGTTCGATTGGGTACATCACAATTCTTATGTAAATTGTTCTACCTTCTTACTAAACAGTGGTTTTCTTTATTATAAACAGCTCCTGTGGTCCTACAGCATTTAAATACGGCATAGGAATAAAATTAACTATATAAAGGAGTTTAACTGTATCAAGAAGTTATCAAACATCTAGTTGCTCAAGCAAGTTTGGTAAATTGCTAAACAACTGGCACGCAAACTGCATTTATTTAAAAGCACTTTGGCAATTGGATAGCGTTTAAATCAAGGCATTTTTTAAGTTTGGAATAAATTAAGGACGTTCCTAAAAAAAATAATGTTATACAAAATGTAGAAAGTGAATAAAAACGAGACATACCTTCTTCAAAACCCATTGGTGTTTAGTTTTCATGATAAAAAAGTGAAGTTTATTTAATAGCAGACGTTTTAAAATAATGACTCCTCTTACAACATAACACTATTATTTATAATTCTATAGATAAAATTATAAGCTTTATTACATTATCTATCGTCCTCTAATTAGTCAAAATAGATCATTTTTATTTAGAAACAATTCGATTCTGATATTTTAATGTGATCCTAATCCAGGAAGAGAATTCTATGACAATATAATAATATGCATTTTTCTATTCTTATTTTTTTTAATTTATAAAACAAAAGCAAATAAAGCTTCAAATTCTAGTAAAATTTATTATTACTTCAGGATTTCTCATTATTATCATCGAAGATCTAAAATAACCGGTAAACAAAATCTTATTAAATTAAACATTTTAGCTGCCAAATGCCATGTAGGGTTAAATGTAAATAACAAAAATGAAGAAACTCTCTTTGTTCACAAAATCTGTTTAAATAAACTGCGAAGTTGTCGCAATCGATATATATCGATGACCGCACACCCACCAGCCGCCAGAGCTGTCACTTCTAGCTAATCTCGCTGTACTCGCGCAACCACGCAAGCCAAATCCAGCTAGAACCTAGCCACCGCGCCACCACTGCCTGTGTATAAACAGTTGGCAAGAAACGAAACCGAAAAACATAAGTTTTTTTTGTTGAAATGGCAGGGTAAAACCCATTAAAACCATTTCCATTATTGCACAAACCACCGGGAATATACATGTGTATATAGAAACGTAGCAGATAAGAAACGAAGAAGAGGAAAGGCGTAAAATATCCGGAACATATGGACGTAGACTTCAAGATAACAAGAAAGAAAAAAGAAGTAAAGTTGCCGCGTTTGCGTTTGCGTTTGCGTTTTCCATATGTATTAACAGTATTTATTATTATTCCAGGAATTCCCGAGCGTGTATCCAATATCATATAATGGTGGCTGCCAAATACGAGCGTTTGAATTCCAGTGGTGAAGTTGGTGCCCTTGGAAATGCCAGCGATGCGGATGAGGAGGAAATTGAGCTCGATCTTGCCCAGAAATCGCAGCTAAATAATGCAAATCGCGTGCGGCCGAGCAACTTTACGTACAATGGTGCAAAATCCGGATCGGGAAATGGTCCGGAAATCAGGGAAGCCTCAACTATGGCCCAAGAAAACATGTTGATGCAAATGGCTGTGGGCACTCTGTTCTTCATACTGTTGTATCTAACGCTGTCCATTTCGCTGACATTCTACCAAACGGACATCACTCGGCAGATGCCATTTCCCCTGGCCATTGTATCCTACCATCTGGTTGTTAAATTCCTGTTGGCCGCCCTGGCCAGAAATATCTATAGGATGTGGATGGGCAGGTCAAGGGTTCAACTGGACTGGCGGGTGTCCCTCAGGAAAATGGCACCCACGGGTGTCGCCAGTGCCATCGATATCGGATTCTCCAACTGGGGACTGGCTTTGGTGCCCATTTCGCTATACACCATGACCAAGTCATCGACCATTGTGTTTATCCTGCTCTTCGCCATCGCTTTGGGACTGGAGAAAAAGGTGAGCAAACCTGGAAACCCTTTACCATACATAAACTTTCGGATATAAACTTTCTGAAACTTTGATATAATAATAATATAGTATATCAAGAATAACCATTTAAATAGCTTAAAGTTTCGAGTTGAAGAACTTTTTTTGTAGACCTTTATCTTAACAGTTCTGTTTTCAATATAAAAACAAATCTGAAGACCATTAACAATAGAAGATTTAATTATAGAGAACTTTCAGTTGTATAAGTATAATAATATTTCGTTATGTTTTTTATTTTTATAAGCCTCAATAGAAGAACTATCTAATATTTACTGTTTAAAGTTATAATAATATGTGAAACCATTTTAATGTATATATAGATAGACAGTGTTTTTGAATTATTGAGAACGTTTAATGATATGAACCCATATAAATGTATATCTTGCTACTCGTCGAGCTTAATACGCTTTTCTGTATAACAATTACCTTTATCATTTTGGTTTCAATTATATTAATGAAAAAAATCCCCATATCTATAAAGAACTGATAAAACTGCACAATTTGTTAAGCTTGTTATCAAATGTTAACGATTATTTTCTTGTGTGTCAACTCAACTTTTTCAAAGTGGGTTCAACAGGTATGATATGTAATACATTTCTTATTGACTTGGAACTAAATACTACTACATGCTCTTCCTAATTATATTGATAGCCCAATAAAATATTTCTTTCTATCTTGCTGTTATTTTCTAAATCAAAACAAAATTCCAATTAATGAGTAATCATTATCTAAAGATAAAATGAAAATCAATATGTATTAAAGTGTTTTTGTTGATTACCAGATATTTGTTACCAACTTCATATATGAATATAACAAGTTTGTTTTACTTTTAGATAAGGAATAATTTATTAATTTATAACCATGGGGTGATGTTGCTTTTATTTTTAATGCATATACTTATCAGCTAGATTATACAAAATGGTTATAAATAGCTTTAAACAGGTTGGATTTATGTTTATTGTGTTTATCCAAATCAAGTTAGGTTTATGATCTTAAAAACATTATTGCTATTTTTAAAACAGTTTTAATTTAGTTCAACTGTTTAAAATCAATATAACAATATTTCATTATTTGTAAAAATTCCTCAAAACCTTAATAATGTCTCTTTATTATTATGTTTATTCAAATCCTATGCAGCATTTAATAATTATACAAAGTTAAAAATTATAAATAAATCCAACAAATAATTGAGATAATTCCCAAGATTTCAAAAGTGACTTAAACTTATTAGGGGTATAGTGAGGTTTCTCCAAAATGCGTTGCAGCGAATGTGATTTTTTCGCACCCCCATAAAGATGATTGTGATTGATGCCATTATTTACTTTCAGAGCTGGTATCTGGTGTCGATTGTGGGCCTGATAGGCACTGGGCTGGTGATGTTCACCTACAAGTCCACGCAGTTCAATGCCCTGGGCTTTTTCTTCATTCTGTTTGCCTCGCTGAGCAGCGGATTGCGATGGAGTTTCGCACAGTTCATAATGCAGAAGTCAAAGTTGGGATTGCACAACCCCATCGACATGATATACTACATGCAGCCGTGGATGATTGCCTCGCTGTTGCCTCTGGTTATGGGAATCGAAGGTGGGTTTCGAGCAGGTCTTACTATGTAGCTGATAAGAACGAGGAAGGCCAACTTTGAGTATTTTTTTCATCGCTAAATATATTGGATATAAATAGTGAAAATATGCATCTAATAACTCCATGTACATTTTACAGGTCCCAAACTTATAGAAGTGTTGGCGGATCTGCACAATCATACCTCAACTAAGATAACCTGGGCCATTTCGAGGATTACAGCTGGCGCTTTGCTGGCCTTCCTAATGGAATTCTCGGAGTTTTTGGTTCTCTGCAAGACATCCAGCCTAACGCTCTCGATTGCGGGGATCTTCAAGGACATCTGCCAGTTGGCCCTGGCTGTGACCCTCAAAAACGATCACTTGAGTGTGATCAATTACATTGGATTGGTCATATGCCTGGCGGGCATTGTGTGCCACCTGCTGCACAAGTACACCAGTATGAAGGAGACTCAGCGGCTGCAAAAGGACCTGCAGTCGGACAACGATGTGGAGGAGTCCACATCGCCGGGCGAGTACAAATTCAACGAGGGCGGCAGTGCCATTGTGGGTGTCCATGTGAAATCGCACTCCACGCTGACGGTGCCATTGCTGGAGCAAACCGATTCCGAGGACGATTCGGGTCATGATCCCAACAGCAGCAAACAGAACGCCTCCGATGTGATCTTCGATGTGCTGAAACGACGCGACATGCAGCGATGAAAGCCGATCTCGCTGCTCACATGTCCCTGTAAATGTTGTATAAATTCAAACGAACTCTATGTTTACAAAGCCACTTTCCCCACGAGAAAACTACTTACTAAACTACTGGGATAGCAATGCAGGTTTAAGTATTCAGTTAGTTTGAGATTTTCCACGATTTTCCCTTCACGCATTGCCGCTTTGTGCATTTGGCAGCTAGGCTAGACTTATGACATATATATCAAATTGAAAAGTGTGAGCTATCCTGGTACAAAAAACATTCCAAGGGACGAAATGTTATCTTTGGACAATGTAATATACTGTCATTTACTTTAGTTACTGAAATTTCAAGTTAAAATTACACCTTTTCCACTTTCTATACATATGAAACAATTTAATAAATCTGTTGCAACTTATTTTAAACTTCACTTCAATTTTGACTCATAAATTAATAACATTTGTCCAATGACGACTTTTAGTCCCAAAAACTATCTCGTTTTTTGTTCGTAAAAACTCGCCTCTTAAGTCTTAAATCCTATGTAAAAATAAGAATGCCTTAAAGACCTTTTTATTGTTCCTTAATCGCAAAATTTAACTGTAAACCCTCTTTTAGTTATAGAAAGTTTTGAATTTGACCAGCTCACAAAATGTCTGATACAATTAAACAAGGGCCATTGTTTTTGAAGCAAATTATAAATAATGTCTTTATTGTTTTTAGTTGATAATGCTTCTTTTTTGTTGAGTTTTTGACATTGTGTATCCATAAGTTTATAACATAGTTTTCAAATATATATTAAATATAATATACTAAAGCAGAGTATAACGATTACGAGATATGTTGGGTGGTTCAAATCAATTGAACGGAGACATATCTTTGTTCGATTTTTTTAAGGCACCTTAAAACTATTTGGTTTAGCTCCAAATTGTATTGGTTTCGAGTTTTTTAGGTTACTAATCTAGGGTGTTGGGTTCAAATCAATTGAGCAAGGAAATATTTGTGTGTTTACGTTCTTATTTAGGCACCTTGAAACTGGTTTTGACTTTTAAGGTTTCCTAATCTATGGGTTCATAATCAACTTTGGCTTGTTTTAGGGCCGGCTGTGTTTCGCCATTATCTTCGATCCGCGAACGTTTAAGATTCGTTTGAGCTTCGGAAGCCCTTGAGTCCTGCATCTGAACAGTGATAATGTTATAGGTGCCCACTCCCACGCTGACCACTTCATCGGAGACCACCAAATCCGTGCTTTCAGTGAGCGATTGCTCGAATCCTGAGTCGGGACTAGATAAATTCTGGTTGCTTTCTTGGCCAGAGGAGGAAATTTCGCAAATGGGCTGGATGGTTTGGTAGAAATGGTAGCCGGCTATCACTTCTATGAAGGGCTCCACCTGGGCCTCGGTGTAGGCGGTCAATCCGATGAGGTAGCCCGACCAGCGCTTCACCCCGCTCACCTGTCGAACTGCTGCAATGCAGGCGGCGGCCAAAAGTGAGGGTGGTTCATTGGCAAATCTGAAAACTAAGGGGAGATGTGTTCTATTATAAGTTTCTCACAGTAAATCATCCACTCACTGGTCAATGTATAATCCGCCATGCGGAGCAGCAACTGCGCCAAACTGGCCAACATTTGTTCGAAGCTTCCATATCGCTGATATGGATGGAGATTCTGGTTCCTCTCGAAATCGTCCAGCATCCTAGTGTAGGCCGCGAAATCGCAGCGAGTGAGGAAACTGCAGGCGAAGAGCTCCACGAAACTGGCCGTTGTGGGACGCACTAGCTCGAAGTTGAGGAAGCACAGCAGCTTCCGCTCCACAGCCTTGTACTCGAAGGCTGTGTAGGCATTCCTCACCAGCTGGTTCATTTCGCTGTAGCGCGGTATAAAGGCATCGGTGTTCTCGATCTGGGCTGCAATATGGAGGCAGGTGAGCGCCACCAAAGACAGCTTGTCCACACGGATTTTGTAGTGGTCCGAAAAGCGATCCATGTAGTACATTCCTAGAATTATCAGGACATTTTAAATAAATTTCACGGTGAATTCAATAGTTTTTGAACTTTAAAAAATCTTTAAATACGGCAATTTGAGATATTCTAACTTATTAAAGACCATATTTAATAAATTTGGAATTAGGAAGGCTCTATAGTACAGTGCACATATAAGTAAGAAGCACAGCAATTTAACTTGTAACTTTTGTTTTACAAAATATTTAATTTAATGAAAGAATATCACTATCACACAATAAGGAATTTTACCTATTTGATATTTTAGATAACATTGAGTTTACATTTTTATTTTCTTTTCTATAAACTACTTTAAGAGTGCAGTTACTAAGATTTTTCTGTACTTCTTCAAGCTTTTTAACAGTTAAAATGATTAAATTTTAATTTAAATTAAAATTTCTTAGTTATTTGAAAATAGAAGAATCTTTTGGTAAAGATCTACAGCAATTCAAGTTATAGCGCTTTTACCGAACAATATTCCTTAGACATCTCTTATATTTCCCGTTAGGGAGGCTCTACTGTAGTGGCTTACCCAAATGCAAGGCACATCGACTGAGTTTGTGTGTTTTGGCCACCATTTGGAGCAACTCCAGCATCTTTTGGCGTTCATCAATTTGCGGCGAAAGAAAATACATCGGCAGCCGACGCTTTTCCTGCTCTCTCATTGTGAAAAATATATCCCGGGCATAATCGCTGAGCCAATGGGTTTTTGCCAGGCGCTAAAGTTAATGAAAATGTGTAAGTCCATTGGAATAAATACCATTCCATTAAATTCCTTTACCTCGTTTTCAATTTGATAGCGATTCTTCTCCGATTTTTCATTGACCACAAAGATGTTTTCTTCGGCAGCCAGGTTCTGGTCCATTCTTTTGCAATTTCCTGATATTAATCTTTAATTATTTCACTATTTAACCAAGAAGTATGCGAATAACGAAGAGAAAACAAAACACGTAAAAATATGGCGAGGATAACGGCGCTTGCAAGTGCAGAGTTGCCAGACTTAAGAAAGCTTGAGATATAACCTAATTTCCAAAATGGCAATATTGCGTTAGTAAAACGCAAAAGCCTGTTTACACCTATCGTTATCGGAATTAACGCGGGATGACCGTTGACACATAGCAAACTCAAGTATATGCGTTCGACTGAAGAAATAAAGCGAATTTGTTCTTTGATTTCTAAATGAAAATTCCAAATAAATTGAAAAAGGAACTGTAAAGACAAAAAAATTATATTTAAAACTTCTACAAAAAAATAAAAATAGTACAAAGCTAATTAATTAAAATTTAATAATATTAATATGCTCGTTCGATCTTTTTTTGTATAAATAGAAGCATAGAAATAGGGTATTGTGAATAAGTAAACCCCAATAAAATGAGTTTATCATTTGAGAAATTTCAAAATGTTCCTTTTTTTATTTGTTGAATCCACTCTGACGTACTCAATAAACTGAGAGGTATACCAATCCACGAGCCAACTTTAGGTACACAAGTTATAATCCCCAAAATATTTGGCTGCGAAATAAAACCACTGTGTTTTCAACCTTTTTCGAATATAAATATATATTTATTTGGAATCGGAGGTCACTTTGAGTTCTTAAAAATGTATTATATAAATTCGGCAAATATCTTTGATTTCTCAAACAAAACAAAACCCTTGTTTCAATTAAATCCAACTCAATTGGAAAAAATTTATTGTCTAATATGCACTTGTCTGGTAGACTTAAGGATATTTGGCAATAATGTTAGGGGATGAATGTGTCGATATCTTCATCCTCCTGATTAACGACAGCTTGTGGCAGTTCACATCCAAAGTAGGCGTTGTTGTTGGCACAAAATAAGATGAGTTGCCGCCAACATTCGTCGACGGCCAGGAGATAAGGATTTCCGAAGACAATCATCATGGCTCGAGCCCGGGAAATGGCCACGTTCATACGTTTGTTGCAACGTACGAATCCCAGAGATAAACGGGCATCAATCCGCAGGATTGATTCAGTCGATCGCACTGTGGAAATCAGCATTATGTCGCGTTCCTGGAAATTAGAAAATGGGCTTGTTAAGAAGCAAATTCAGGAGTTCTCCGACACCCCGATCCAGACGCACCTGTCCTTGAAACTCCTCGACGGAGCCAATCTTCGGCATGGCCACATCGGTGCCAATGAACATGTTGCGCAGCATCTTCACCTGCTTCACATAGGGCGTGAGTATGCCGATCTGTTCCGGCGTCACATTGGCGCGATACAGGGCAATGGTCATGAGGAACACCTCCTTTACCTCTTGCGGATTGAACCAGGATGGAGAGTCCGCTTCCTGCCTATTCTCGCCAGTGATTCCATAGAAGAACGTGCCATGCGCCTGCGGCATATCCTTTTCGGGCTCGAAAACCACACGTAGTTTGGAAAGTAGCTGACATTCCCGCGAATCCTTTTCGGAGACCATCGGTATCAGTTCGTCGTCGTAGAAGAGCTTGCTGTAAGTGCTCACAATCGAAGGCAATGCCCGGTAGTTGTACAATAGCTTGGTCAGCACGGCGGGATTGTAGCCCGAGCTATTGGGATATCGCTGAAGATCCTTTCGATAGGGCGAACGTTCCAGCAATCGCTCCAGAAAGGACATCGAAAATCCCCTTTCGCCCGCAAACTTATTGATCACAACGGCCTGCAGCTGGCGAGGATCTCCGGCCAGAATGACTTGACTGCGTTTCTTGGTGAGCATCACAATGGGCACCATTGTCTCCGGTTCGGTGCATTGCCCAGCCTCGTCGAAAAGTGCGTGGGTAAAGTGTCCCGTCGGGAATCCCATTTGCAAAAAGTTACCCAAAGTAGCGCATGTGGAGATGGTGATTCGGTGACTCCCAATGAACTTCATCTGGCAGCGCAGTTTCAGTCCCGATTCGGTGGTCACCATCTGCGGAAAAACATGGTAAACTATAGTTTGTGTCATTTCAAAAGGATATACTACTCACAGAAAAAAAAACATGTTTAAAATCAACAAAGAAAAAATGTTACAATATTTCAGTTTGTAAAATTAAAAAAGAACTATTATTTGTGCCATTAGAATAGGAAAAACAAATTGACTTGTAAAAAATTTTTTTGAAAAGAATAGTTAAAGAACGACTGATTTGGACAATTACTATGTTTCTGTGTTCTTAAGAATTTTGTTAATAAACTTATATTTTAATGGCAATTACCTACATTCTATAGGTTGTTAGAGATTCTAGTGCTTGACTTTGCATGATATTTTTCTGGGTGTACTCACACTGTCCTCGCAGCTGCCGACCATTCCGTGGTCCACCGTGGCACAGTAGCTCATCAGTTCGGGCGGGATTGCATCCCTCTCCACTTGATTGTGCGACACAAGACGGATGAAATCTCCCGGCAGCAACACATTACAATCGATCAATCGCTTGGTCACCAAATCCGCTGAGCTATTCGAGGGAGTTCCCACCAAGATCCGAGCACCTGGTAGATTCCGCACCAATTGCAGTATGGTCTCCACAAGCGTCACCGTTTTTCCAGTGCCCGGCGGGCCAAAGATCACATAAGGAATGTCTTCTGCTTCGCCTTTTAAAATATTATAAACAGCCCGCTTTTGGATGATATTGAGCGATGGATTGTACCAGGGCAATTTCGAATCGTACAGGTACATATCTTCACCCTCCATTCGCACTTCCAGCTGGGGATTCTCGCGCTTGGTCACCTTGCTGGGGAACAGAAAGTGTTCGCCCATCACGCTGCCAATTTTCGAGACGGCATGGTGCTGCTTGCGAAAAGTAAAGCGGGAGAAATAAAACTCCAGTCGGTAATCCTCTCCGTTGTATTTCTGCTGGAAACTGGCGTTGAACTTCAGCAGTACCCTGTTGAAAAGCACCTTGTGGATGATGCCTTCGTAGCATTTGTTTTCCTTGGAATCGGCATCCGCCCAGGGATTTATGGCCCGCACTACATCGCCCACGACCAGCGATGGACGACGCTCGGCCAGATTCTCGATCTGCAGCGACAGGAACTCCCCGTCTCGCTGGAAATGGGCTCGATCCCGGTCGAAGTTGCGGAAGCTCACAAAGCATTCGATCTCCTCCAGGTGCAGGAACAAACCCCAACGCTGCACATAGTTGCGAAAGTCCAGCGGTTCCTTCATGCTGGAATAGTGCTGCTCCAGAATATCGCACAGTTCCTGGCGCCGTTCAACGGTCAAGTAGATTTTACGCAACTTCTCAGGAACCTTGAAATTATCACAAAAAAAAAAAAATTATTTAAAAATTGTTTAATCAAAATCTTAATTTACATTGCGTACAATTTTCTTGGGTATATTATTGGGTATATTATTATTATAATACAATAATAAACAAGTTCTCTCAAAATAAATCCCAACTTTTTTAAACATTTTTTTACACTTTATGACACTCTGTCCTAGATTTTTTAAGAAGAGTTTATAGTGCTTGGTTATTAACGTAAAAAATGGTCTGAAATTCTTGTTCTGAGTTTAAATTTTGTGTTGAGACCTACTCACCTCAAAGAAACCCAAGCGCAGGGCCAAAAATCTGCGCTTGGTGACCACGTGTTCGCCCGGGACCACATCCATCTTGTTGGACCACACTTGGTTGGCATAGAAGCGGGATCTCTGGTGGATCGTGCGTCCGGTTGCCATCAGACTTTCGGCGGCTATTAGTCGCCTCTCGGCCTCGGCGGCTGCCTCTTTGGTTTCGCAAACGATGACCGTGAATGAGCGCTTAACTCTAAAACGACCAAAGTTCAGCTCGTATTTCTCGTTGGCTTCGCCCATAAACTGGGTGTGAATCTCGAAGACTATTGTTTTTTCGACGCCGCATTCAATTTCCATGGGTTCCAGCGGTTCCTTCACGCTCAACTGGGATTCACTGTCGTTCGAGACAACGATGCTCTCCAGGCGGATCATCCTGTTCAGATTGTTGCTCAGTTTCAGCGAAATTGTGTGTTTCTGCCAGAGCTCAGTGGTGATGAAGCGGTTTGCTCCTGTTATCGAGACTGCATGTCCGCTGCTCGAAGATCCTGAGTTACTACCCTGGGACATAACCCTCGTTTCTCCAAAGTTCTTCTCCAGGGGTCTAAGTTTAATGGCGCGTCTCGTGAATTTGGACTGGAAAATAATAAAGATACTTTAGTTAAGGAGAAAATTCTTATGGCATTAAATTATTATTCCTGCAACTTACATACTGACACTCGATGAGATCGGCGAGAACAAAGTCACCCAAGTGGAGGTCTGTTCCCGTGGGCAGGTCCGTTTTTAGGACGTAAATTTCCGGACCCAGAAGCGCCAGATCCGTGTAAACGCGCTCCACAACACACTTCTCAGCCTCTTCGATGCGCGTGGGAAAGACCTTGGTCACCTGCAGAATTTCACCCTGTTTGTCCACGAAACCGTCGTCCAATTGAATGTTGCACTCCAGGCGCACGCGATCCCCTGTCTTGGGAATGAAGGTCATCTCTATGTTGTCCAGCTCCACAGTGAGTTGTCCATATTCCGTCTCCACGTCGATGGAGGAAGCCAGGCGCTGGCGAATCAGGCCCAGGACGCTTCTTATCTGGGTGTTGAAATAGGTGGGCTTCTCGTCCTTCAGTTTGTCCACAGCTTCATCGATCTGAAAAGGATTCTTTAAATTTGCTTTCTGGGTTTATTCAAATGAAGTGCCCACCTGAATATGGTTTGTATCCTCCCAGTTTTGCTCCAGGATGCGTTTCACCTTGACCACTCGTACGTTCTCCTCGTGCTCCTGCTGATAGGTTAGATATTCCACCACACAACCGACATGCAACTCCAGAAATATATCCTCTGCCACCTTACTATCGAAAAAATGGACCTTGTCGATGGCTCCACTGTTGCTGGTCAAACTGGTGATCACTCCCTTTCTCGATGAACAGTTTCCTATTTCCATACGTGCGACTCCCTGCGTGAGTTCACCCATCTTGTTGGTAATAACGCCATCCATTTCGGATGGATTCGCCTGACGCTGCCGATCGATCTCCTCTTCCAATAGCTTTTGGTCCAAGAAGCGATTCTCCTGCTCCATACGCTCCTCAAGAAACTCCCGCTCGCGATCCGCATTGGCGAAAAGTTTGCGAACGAGTGTCAACATTTTGGGGTTTAGGGTTTATGGTTTTGGGTTCTATTTTTATTGAGCGGGTTTCTTGTCCAGACTGTCGTACATCCAGTCCGTTTCGCTGAGGTAGCCCAATTCCTTGCGCAGATTCTGCAGACGTTTCAAATGGCTCTCTGTCGAATCCACCTCCTTTCCGCCCTCGGCTTCGCTCAGTTGCGCCTTGTCAGCGCTGATCTCTGGTTTCTTAGCCTGAAATTGGGGAAATTGGGGACATAAGTTATTATAAACATTTGTGGGGGCTCTGCACACTGACGTTTCGGAAACCGAACACTCAAGTATCCTACAGTTTTCAATCTTATAATCGATTCTAGGATATTTCGAATTTACAATCGCCATTAAGGTTCGAAAAATGATCCGTCCACTTAAGAAATGCTATAAAATATATATAAGGCCTTTGAGGTGTACACAATTTTTAATCTCAAAAATAATAGCTTTTCATGGAGACTTCGAAATAGGGTACTTTGAGTTATGGACCGAAATCATTCGGTATCAAATTAAAGTGAAAATAAGTGTGGGAATCGGAAGGGTCAACAAACAGTAGATATCACTACAAAATTTTATTTAACATAGATTTTTTAATCAATTAGTTGGTAATTATACTAAGCATATTTAAGGGATCACACAAAATATGTATTAAGTTAGCAATATAAAGAGCATTTAAAACATTAGGGCTTGTTCAAAAATTACAAAATATGAAAGATCGAAAGATTAAAAATATGTTAAATTAAGCTTTTCAAAATTTGTTTTGTTTGCTTTTAACTACTTGAATCGGGTCTGCAATTTGTGTTATCTTAGAGATTTAAAACTTAGCAACATTGTTTTTAAGTCGCGTGTTTAGTTTAAAATAAAATCTTTGTTTAGATTTAAACCATATTTAATTTTCAGTGTAAAATTAAGATAACTGTAAAACTTTCAAAATTAATATCAATGCTGCCGCTTTTACAGTTATCCCTTTCAATAGTCTTCTCTTTCGCACTCACACAGCAACATACTGATTACAACAACAAACCTCCGTTTCGGTGGATTCTACAGGAATATTGGACGCCGTACCACTCGTTGATGCTTCTTCTTTAATCGTAATACTTCCAGACGCTTCGCTAGACATCCTCCAATCCCCAATTCTACTGGAATGCCAAGCTATACTTAAAGAAGAGAGGAAAGTTTACAGTTTCCAACCGGCTTTTGCCGATTTTACTGCCGGCTTTTCATTCTTCCTTTAAACTCACATAAATTTGCAACGTTCTTGTATTAATGAATGAACCTTTATAGAATTTACTATAAATCAGATAGTAAATAAATGCACATTCAAAAAAATTCTGAATAGAAATTAAGGGCAAACCGTCTTCCTCTCCGCGAACTTTTTAAGCAAAGGAATTTTAGTGTGGCCCCATCTTGAACTCTAGAAAATACCTATGCGGCTTTGCAGTATATACTTAAAAAGTATACTTCTGTATACCCTTAATGAGGGTATTACAACTAAGCTGTGCTAAATATCCGCATATCTGTTTTTAATTAAAAAATGTTATTACGAATTTTATAACCCTTCATATATTATTTGTGCAAATTTCAACATAAATTGATGATACCGTTTTTTTTTTGCTTTTTGCTATAACTTTTAGGATCAAACATTACAATCAGTTAAATGTCATTAATGCATAACCAAAAACCTGTCAGAAAAACAAAAATTATACTCCAAATTATTTAAACTTATACCATCGATGTGATTTTAAGAATTTAATATTATGTTTAAAACTTCCGACCATTAAATTCGTAAGAGACCTCTGCGACACATGTGACGAATGTATTATATATAAAAATTCAAAGCTAATAAATGGTCCACCATATAGATTGCACGCCGTATAATTTTTAGTCGTCAATGAAGTCCAATAATATTTTCAAACCGATCCACATATAAATTGGTGAATCAACAACTCAAGACGTCGTCTAAATATTTGTGATGAATAGAAATACATATTTACTACGGCGATAAATGGTCCACCCTAAAAAGGGCACGCCGGCGCCTTGGCAAATCTGGTTCCAAGACAACTAAAAAGCGACGGTAAATAATAAAAAGCTTAATTTAAACATAGATCTAGAGTAACCCCAATATACAATTGAAAACTTCTACTTATTTTAACAAAGTTTTTATAAAAAAAATTGTAACCCAATTTTTACAACACATTTTGCTTCTATTTTTGCAAAGTGAATTTTTTAAATTATATATTCTTTCAACGCAATATGAGGTCGGGGCTAACAGTTACATAAATAAATGATGCATTTAGAAAGCTATACCAATAGGTGGGTGAAATCAAACAAATAACCATATGTGGTCTTGTAATTAAAATTGTTTAAATTTTCTTCAGGGATTATGAAATTTTGATTTTTTAACCCCATCAGGATTGACCTGATGGATCGGGGGTCATACACTTTTGTAACATAGCTTTCTGAAATCCAATATACCTCGCATGTGCACAGCAAAGGGTATGCGATAATCGATAACTTGTTTTGTGATTTTCAGTCGAACCACCGAACGGTCACACTGAAACCCCCCCGCGTCCACCCATTCGTCCAACGTGTTTGTGTGCAAAATTTCTACGGTTAAATAAAAACCGCTTGAAAATTGGCCAGCCACCGTGCCAAATTCAGGATTAGAGTGCCTCGAACCGCAGGATTGGGATCACGACCGGAAGATCAGCAGATCAGTAGCAGGACAACTAGGAGCACCCATCCAGCAGAAAAGTCCTACTCCTCAGTTTTTTTCTCTCTTTTTGACTGCCAAGGCGTCACTTTCAGCAGTGAATAACCCAGGGTTCTTGGTTTTTGGCCAGCGGAGGAGCATCGTGTTGCAGTCGCAAACGGGAAGATGGTTAAAGCTAAAAAGGGCAAGAAAGAGATACTGACCAAGGTCGAAGGCGGCTCCTCGGCGGATGAAATGTGAGTGTCTGCCAACCACCTGCCAAGTTGGCAAACTTTCTAAAGACCATTGCATTTCTTTCAGCTCCGATGTGGACAGCGACCAGGTGAGCCTCAACAACAAGAAGAACCAGCCCCAGAAGGGCAACAAGGCCGGCCAGGATGATGTCCAAACATTGACCAAAGGTGTTGGCAAGCTCAGTGTCAAGGGAAAAGGCAAGGCAGCCAAGAATGAGGACTCCGATGACGGGGAAGTGCTGGCCCCTAAGGGTAAGCCCGCCAAAAAGTCCGCATTTGAACTGCTAATGGACGACGACGATCAGGATGAGCCGGCTGCCCAGGAAAGCCAGTCAGAGGAGGAGGAAAAAGTGGTTGCCAAACCGCAGAAGCAGGAAAAGAAGGGCAAGAAGGCCAAACGCAAGGGCAAAGACGATGACGATGAAGATCTGGACAGGGTTTTGGCTGAACTTCAAGCAGAATACGCTGGAGAGGCTACTCCTGCCACCGTTGTCTCCCCCGAAGAGCTGGCCGATGAGTTCTCCAAGAAGAAAAAGAACAAGAAGCAGGCTAAGCAAGCTCCTGCCGCGGAAAATGCTGGAGAGGATGAGGGCAGCGATGATAATGAGGAGGGCAGCACCATGAAGTCGGCTGCCCAGAAGAAAAAGGAGAAGAAGGAGCGCCAGAAGAGGGAGGCTGCTCTGGCCAAGCAAAAGGCAGCCACGGAACCCAAAGTGAAGACTGTAGAGAAACCAGCTCCCGAGACAGAACCTCCAGCTCCCGAGGAAATCCCAGTGGAGGTACCCGGCGATGAGGAAGATAAGACCAGCAAGACCCAGAAGAAGAAGGGCAAAAAAGATAAAAAGGCCGAGGTCGAGGAGGAGAAAAAGGACACCAAGAAGAAGGGCATGTCCGCTGCCATGGTGGCCGCCATGCAGGAGCAGCTGAAGAAGCGCAAGGAGGAGGAGGAGCGCCTGGAGCGCGAGGAGGCCGAGCGCATACGTCTGGAGGATGAGCGCGAGGAGGCCCGCCTGGAGGCAGTGCGTCTGGAGGCGGAGAAGAAGGAGAAAAAGAAGCAGCGCGAGGCGGAGCGCAAGGCTCGCCTGAAGGCCGAGGGCAAACTGCTCACCAAGAAGCAGAAGGAGGATCGGGCCAGGGCACAAGCTCTGCTGGAGTCTCTGAAGGCCCAAGGATTGGAGATTCCCGATCCCAACGACAAGCGACCCACGCGACCAGGTGATTTGGCTTACTCTGCGCTTGTTATAAGCAGGAAATTGCAATTTGTTACGGCTTTGTGATCTGGGTTTTTAGCCAGTAATTAATAATTATATTATTATTAATATTGCTAGTGATCTCCATCATTAGATTTTTTACTTAGTTATATTTGGTAGTGAAAGTTATATTTAAAATCTGCATATGTTCATAAACTGAATAACATTAGTAGAAAATTGTGCAACACGTTTTATATAAATAGTTAAACTTTCTCTTTAAATTTGTATGCAACTGTCGGCTCTTCTTGATTTCTTTGTTTCCGTGTTTAAACTGCTACATTTTTTATTGTAATGGTAATTTAATAGTAATTTAAATGTCATATGAATTTTGGCTTTTATAAAAATTTTTTATACATTCAAGTTTTAAAGAAACCTCTTTTGACTGAAAGCTTAAACTAATAACGTATTTTTAAGTATTTATTTAAATATCTTTACTTAAATGTCTTTATTTTGTATTATATTATTTTGCTTTTTAATCTTTTTATAACTTAAAACCAAAACTACTAATCTGTTATTAAACTTAACTTTTAGTAAGAAGTATGTTAGTTTATTTTTATAAACAACATACCACAATTCAGTAAACATAATATTTTCCCGCTTTTTGTCACCATATTTAACCCAGTAATCCTTTCCAGGAACCCGCATCCGTCCGAACAAGAAAAAGGGTCCCAAAGAGGAGGTCGCCGAGGAGGAGGCCAAGGCGGCGGAGGCCCAAGCGGCTGCCGCTGCCGCCGCTGCAGCTGCGGCCCAAAAAGTCGAGGAGGAGGTGGTCAAGGAGAGCTGGGATGCCACCGACAGCGAGGCGGAGCCGGAACCCGAGGAGGAATCCTCGCAGGCCACCAACAATGGCAAGGCGGGCGACGAAGAGGATGAGGACACCGACGAGGATAACGATGACGATGAGGATGACGATGACAGCGATGATTCCGATGAGGAAAGCGATGACTCGCAGGAAAAGGAAACGGCACTGGCCAATGACCCGGAGTCACGAAGACTACGCGCCGAAGCCAGAATCCTTAAGCGTCAGGAAGAGGCGGAAAAGAAGCGAACCACCGATGAGCTGCGGGCAGGAGTGGTCTGTGTCCTGGGACACGTAGATACGGGCAAAACCAAGATCCTGGACAAGCTGAGGCGTACTCATGTCCAGGACTCCGAAGCGGGTGGCATCACACAGCAAATTGGAGCCACAAATGTGCCCATCGATGCCATCAAAGAGCAGACGAAATATGTGAAGTCCGCTGTTGGCTTCGAGCATCGCTTGCCTGGCCTGCTGATCATCGACACACCTGGCCACGAATCGTTTAGTAACCTGCGGAACCGAGGTTCCTCGCTCTGCGACATTGCCATCCTGGTGGTGGACATTATGCACGGCTTGGAGCCACAAACCATCGAGTCCATTCAGCTGCTCAAGAAAAAGAAGTGCCCATTTATAGTGGCCCTCAACAAGATCGATCGTTTGTATGATTGGAAGCAGCTGGGCCGGCGGGATGTGAGGGATGTCCTGAAGGAGCAGGCGAGCAACACACAGCTGGAGTTCCAGCAGCGCACCAAGAAAGTGATTTTGGAGTTCGCGGAGCAGGGATTGAATGCGGCCCTCTTCTACGAGAACACAGATCCCAAGACCTATATTTCACTGGTGCCAACCAGTGCGATCACGGGCGAGGGCATGGGCAATCTGCTCTTCATGATCGCCGACTTCTGTCAGAACATGCTGGCCAAGCGTCTGATGTACTCCGAGGAGCTGCAGGCCACCGTGCTGGAGGTGAAGGCACTGCCCGGCCTGGGCACCACCATCGATGCCATTTTGATCAATGGCAAGCTGCGCGAGGGCCAAACTATGGTTGTGGCCGGCACAGATGGACCCATTGTCACGCAGATCCGTTCGCTTTTGATGCCACAGCCCATGAAGGAGCTGCGCGTGAAGAACGCCTATGTGGAGTACAAGGAGGTGAAGGCCGCGCAGGGCGTCAAGATCGCTGCCAAGGATCTGGAGAAGGCCATTGCAGGCATCAATCTGCTGATTGCCCACAAGCCGGATGAGGTCGAGATTTGCACGTGCGTTTACTTGATATATTTACTTCTAATTTGGGGTGCTTGTATTGCTTGTTCTTAGAACTGTAGAAATGTTTTGTTAGAAAATATTTAGTATAGTAGTATACAATTATTAATGTTGCTATTTTTCAAACAATTTTTGTTCCTATTAAGATACGTTTTTTTGTATTTTTTCATATATAGTTTATTTAGTTAATTATGACAGAACATTTTAAGCTATTTACCATCGATATAATTTTGGTTTTGGTAGTTTTTTATGTTATAAATGTTACTTGCTCTTCTTTATTTGTGTTTTTCAGAGATGAAGTTGCCCGGGAGCTCAAGAGCGCCCTTAGCCACATTAAACTTGCACAGACAGGCGTTCATGTCCAGGCTTCCACGCTGGGTTCGTTGGAGGCACTTTTGGAGTTCCTGCGTACATCTAAAATTCCGGTAAGTAATTTGCTACTTTCAACACTATACTTTGGTTTTACTACAAGACTTAAAAATGGAAAATGTCTAAATGCAAAAATCTTTAATACCTTCTGGTCAAAAAAAAAATTTAATATTTTTCTTCACAAAATTTTGGGATCAGTAGTTTTGTGTGTTAAGGGTGCGATATGCACCACATTTTTTTACCTTGTTTAATTTATTTAAGTAAAAAAAGTTCCTCTTCCCGTTGTAACAATTTAAGAGTCATTTACTTATTTTTAAGCTGTATGTTATATATAAAGTCGCAAAAGTTTGCTCTAAATTAAAAATAAACACATACTAGGATTGCCAATAACTTCCGAAAATTGTATTTACACAAAAGGCATATAGATGCAAACCAGATTTGGCATTACTTTCTGATAAATTGGTGGAGGCCCTTTTAAATCATCGTTATACCTTTCTGTTCCCTGCCAAATAATGGACCACACGTGCCCGTGCAACAAGTCCCAAATGAATAATAACCAAAACATGGGTGTAAAGAAAAATCGCCCCAAGAGAAAGATCTCAGACGAAGCGCTAACATAATTTAGCACCGTTTGTTTAGACAATTAGCCAAAAGAATATTTTCGGGGCAGCCACATAGATCCCAAAAACGGAGGGAGAGATAACCTTTTAATAGGTGAGCTCTGCAATTTATGTACACATTATTTATTTCTGCCCATGGCGGGATATTTCTAACAGCTCGTAAGTCGGGCGATAAACAAAATCTAGTAGCTAGTCGGAGAAACGGGAAAACAAACTAGTACGCAGATCGGAAAATTACCCATTTTCCCTGTCTACTTTTTGGCTATATGGCAAATGGAATTTGGGGCGGCGACAAAGTTGTCAATTTGAACTATAAATATTACATTTAAATGCATACAAATGAATTGTGTCAAATTCTTTTTTGGAAGTACATTTTTGTAGCATTCCTATTATAAACCATGAAAAAAAGATTCTTCACACAAATTCTTAAGCTATATAAAGCGTTTTGTTCAAAACTTATAATATTACATTTTATTGCTTACCAATTAATTGTATTAACTTCTTATGTGGAACAAATAAGCAATTTTTAAGCATTTTTATAATTAACCAGTTAAAAGGAGGTTCTTTTCGCGAATTCTTTAGCTCTTTCTGGCGAATTCTTAAGCTCCTCCCTTGGCTAATTTGGCTAATGAAAATGTCTAAATTTTGAGTTGGCCAAAATACTAAATATTAAATTGTAATGCATACAGATAAATTGTTTAGATTTTGTATTTGGAAATAAATCCGCAATTTTTATTAGCATTCTAATCGTTAACAATTTAAAAGACGACTTTTCTTGCGAATTCTTAAGCTCCCTCCCTGGCTATTTTTTCGATAGCTGGTAAATTGAGTTTTGGTGTGGCGACAAAGTTGTAAATTTTGTCGCTGGCCAAAAAACTATTTTGGATTTGGGAATTATGAGTGCGTGAGAAGGCGGGGACGACGACGAGATTTCTATGCTCCTGTCTGGCAGACTACGCCGTAAACATAAAAATGCGTATTTTTGTAAAATGCAAACCCGGCCGTTCTAGCCACCAAGATGATCATGGTGATGATAATGATGATCATGGGTATGATTCATGCCAAAAGAAGCCGAATGGCGGGCGCCCAGCCAACTGAACACGCACTGTAACCATTTCATTTCGCTGTCTGCCCCCCAGTCTCAAAGTCTCGAGAAGATTGAACACCCAACTAAAAATACTGGCCGCTCTATATAGCCACCATGTAGATACGCACACGCATTCGCAGATATATGTTTATTCCTATATATATATATTTATATTCCGTCGGTGTATATATATGGCAGCAGCGGATATGACAACTCAAATTCCAATTTAGCAAATATTTATTTTCTAGCAACGCTTCTTGCCCCTAATCAATTTCACACGCCTTAAATGAAATGAATTAATCGAGTTTGCTTGGCTTTTAATGGGAATTAGATAATCAGAAGTGTTCGCTTTATTTCATTTAATTTGTTTTTTCGCTTGCCTCAGCTGCGGAAATGTTGCAACGGAAGCGCGGATAAAGTGAACAAAACAATAAACAGACGAACACATATGGGCCATTTGATCCAAGACCCCGATATTTGAGCGTTCTGTTGTTTCAGCAATTTTCTGTTTTCCAGTTAAGTTTTTTTTCTGCCACACACTATTAGGGTGTTTATTTAGATTATTTCAAATAAAAGTAGGGACAGTTCTTTTGTAATAAATGAATATTAAATTGAAATTCATACAATTAAGTTGTTTTTAATTCTTATTTGGAAATAGATCCGGAATTTCTTAAGCATTATTTTAATTAAAAAGTTATAAGAAGATTCTTCTAAGTCTTTCATTTCCTTACCTAATTATAATAAAGAATTTATTTTTTACACGAATTTTTTAGTTTTGAAATCAATTAATTAAATCTTTAGTTAGCATAATAAAGGAAGATTCTTCTCACGAATTCTTAAGCATTTTTCTTGTGATTCGGCACTTTACTGTTAATATTCATACCTTAGTGGTATTAACTAAACACCCTACCTACATTTTTTTTTGTTTCTGCTGAAACTACAAGCTCATTAGCGACAGCAGCCCACATTTGCTAAGGTTTCCCACAGTGTCATCATCATCTCCATGTTGCCATCATTATCATCGGCAGGCCGCAACACTTTCCCAGGCCTTAAGGTTCCTATACGATACCAATACGATCCGGGCCGAAACGCCAACGCAATATAAAGCACACCGAGCTGAAAAACTATGCAAATTAGCCACCAAATGCAGCCACAGGGCGCGTGGTTGTGAACTGAATGAGTAAATGACTGAATGAATGAATGAGCGACTGACTGACTGAACGACGAGATGAGGCCAGGGACGTTTCAAGCCACAAAGGGGTCATCTTTCAGATATATATATATTCTAAATCTGTCTGTGGTAACACCTTGTATTTTAGGTGGCTTATTAAGTGGACTAATGGAAGTTGGCTATTAACATTTTAATGCATACTCCTTCGCAGTCTGTCTAAAGAGGTCTTACATTTACTGTTTTGATATTAAGATGTTCTTGTACAAGATGCCAGTTATTGTGGAAATTACTAAGATAAGATAATACAATACAGAATAAATTGAAATATTAAAATTTACATTGGACCAGTTGTGCATATATTTGTAAAAATTTGATTAATACAATTTGAAAGGAGAGAAAATTCATTGAAGAATTGCTTTCAACTGAGTATTTTTATACTTTTTTTAATGATATAACTATATAATTTTATTCTAAACCTTTTATATATGAGTTTAAGAGTTTTAACTTTTAAATTATCTAATCATATTTGTGCAAAAATTAATATATTTATATAAAATAGAAGCTTAAACTTGAATTTAATTCAATTTCTAGCTAATTTTTTTGCGATTTTCACAAACCCTTACAAAACCAAGCTCCGCTCCAGTTAAATTTGGACCATCTTAGCTTCCTTTTGTCTTTGCGGCCCACTGAAATAATTTCCAAGTCGTTTTTCTGAGTCGCGCCCATTAGATTTGGTATTGTTTTTTGGTGGACGTCCACTTGAACTCTTAATGAATGAATTAACAATTTCTGCAGTCGCATGCACATGTTGTCCATATGGCCGCGACGTTTTTGTCTTTTTTTGCTCTTTTTTTTTTTGCCCCACCACCGATTTTGTCACAATTTGGACGAAAAATTTGTCGCCGTCATGTTTACTGCGCTCGTTTCGAAAATCAATTATGGCCAGCTCACTTGACTGACTGACTGAGTGAGTGACTGACTGACTGAGTGAATGAGTGACAAACGGACAGAGTGACAGACTGTATATTCATTCATGATTTTAACCAGAGATGCTGACCATGTGGGCTCAAATCGACGACCACCGGTCGGCTACGTAACAAGTTTCGCCTTCATTTAAGCCAAATTTAGTAACTGGCTAACAACATTCACAGACACTCTCATAGTTTACCTTCTTTTTTTTTTTGGACCCCGACTATTGCTAATGCTATGTAAAATGCCATAAAACTTTATGGTTATCGCTGCCAGAGTCATTTTTCTAGGCACCCACATATACGGCCTTTTGGAATTGGATTCAAATTCAGATTCAGATTCAGCTTCGGTGCTTTTGCTTTGGCTTTTTACTTGCGTGGCCGTTGAAATACGAGCAGGGTTGCCAATTTATTGGCACTGCCAAACTGACGGCCGGAAATTGTCATTTGAGTGGTCGCTGCTGCTGCCGTTTTACAAACAAACAACAAAAAATGTCTAGAAAAACCGCGCAAAAGTTTTGTCTCGCTTAGCCCATTAATTTCTGACACGTCGCAGGTTGCGTTGATTGGCGATTTGGCAATCAATCTTACGCTTGCGGTGTTCCATTAATTGGTATTCAACCGATCTGAACCCTTAACGTTATCCGAGGCGTCAAATAAATCCACTCATTCCAAATGGGACATAAAAAGGTCAAACAATTGTAAATTTTACAAAATTTATTTGAAATATCTAAAGAATAATTTTTTTGTTTTAAATGTTTTTAAAAAAGACACTTTAAGTCTAAATGGGAAATGAAAATGTAAGGCAGATTGAAATGTAAAATATTGCTTACCAAATTTCTTTACGTTATTTTAAGAAAAGCTTTATTCAAAAAACGACCAGTTTTTAACTTTTTACAAAAAGATTTGTGTTAAGCTCATTCTAAAAAATAGGTATTTTTTATTTATATTGGTTCTATGATGTTTTTGAATTTATACTTTCCTTAAGCCTTAAAAAAACTCAGTTTATTGTTATAACCTTATTTGTTTGCCTGATTGAGTTTGTACGCCTGCTTAATTTGTGCATTCAATTATGGGACAATAAAGCCGCAAAAAAAAAAATAAGTAAGAGTATGAAAAAACCCTAACAAGTTCCCGAAAAGAGCAAAAATAAAAACAAACCAGACAATGAATTGCATGGAAAACAAATCAATTACAAATGTGTTGTGCT